AGCCCTGCAGAGAAGAAGTTATCAGTGCTTGTTCTTTTTGGAAATAACCTACAGGGAGCTAATTTGTTCTCAGCCTTCGTTAGAGTAATTCTGTGGGAACCAGATACCATGCTTATGCCTTTATAGAATTTTTTTAAAGGCCTAGTTAGGAAGCCTTTGAGAAGGCTGTCCTTTTTATATTTTTCATAATATGCTGCATAATGTTTAATCCAATATATTTTTTCTTATAGAGGAAAACAATTTAAATTTCAGAATATATTCAGTGAGCTTTACAATAGAAACAGTGACCAAAATGCCTCAAAGAAGAGGAATAAAATATATGACCTTACCTCTTGCAACAGAGGGTAGTGTGGCAGGTCTCAGCATAGGGAGCAAAGAATAAGGTTTCCATAAGAAGAAGTCAGCAGAACTGTAGCATATCACCTCAGAGCAGACTCTAGCCCCTGGAGAAGTTTCCACAATAAAGCCTGAGTCTTAGGTGGTTTTCTATGCAAAGTCGATTCCCCTACAAAAACCCTGCACAGAGCCTTGCAGAAGAGCAAATCGAGTATGCTAACAGGCTAACAATTTACTGTGAACAAGAAGGTTTAGTGAATGGTTTCTAAAGCTAGAAATTGATGACTGAGGAGAGAGCACATGGTATTTCCAGGTAAATGCAACTCAGTTCCTGAAGAATCAGGTTTCCTTTGCCTGCCTTTGTGGTTTCAGCATAAAAATCTAGTGGTCAGAGAGATCAACAACCACCTCGAGTACGTGAGAAAGCTGTTTTGTATTTGATTTACTGGGCACTGCCAAATTGTTTGCATTTTTATATGAAATGCTGTGTTCAAAAGCCTGTAACAGGAATAAAGCAGACCTCAAGGTTAATCCTTCATTCCTCTGTTATTTAGCTTGTTTATTTTTCACTTTTAACAGTGATCTTTGTTGAACGCTTGAACTGTTCTGTTGATGGACAATGAAACACTTTCTCCTGGGTACGGCACATTGACTCAGTAACTTTCATGGTACATCTGTGTGCCTGCTAGGCACCAAAAAATGAGCACAGCAGTGCCAGGAAAGAAGCTGCTGAGCTCTCCAAGCTTGGGTGGATACCTTGGCACAACTCTTTTTCACTTTGCAGGTATGCCAGGCAATTGACACTACAAGTGTTTATGTTTTTCTATTTCACATAAGAATTCAAATGACATTTAGGACACTAAGGCATATGATGCAGCAATGGCAAGATCCAGCATTCAGATGAATAAATGGCAGAGTGTAATCCTCCATGTGTCTTTGGATGAACCGCTGTGGACAGGTATCCATGCAATACTTGTGTGATGTCCATATCACATCCCTATGAAAGTCCAATTCACTGTTCTGCAGAAAGGCTGTGACAGAACATGGAAAAGAAAACAAGGTAGCCCTGTAGTATGGTAAATATGATTGTCGTCTTGCTCGTTAAAGGTAACGGGCCTTGATCCTTCAGTGCAGGACTGGTCTGGACTTGGTCTGAGCTGATTTTAGCTTGTTTTAGTTCTGGCAGCAGTTGTCTAGCAGTCAGGTAACAACTGTCTAACTTGTTTTTATCTTGACTCTGTCCAAGCTTAGGAATGGAGTTCTCAGTGAAGACCAAGCCCTTGAAACCTGACTTAAAAACATCTCAGAAGCTGAGCAAGAGATTGCAAAATTTACAGAAGTATTAACATCAAAACCTTCCCATAAAGAAATTAAGTGAGACAGACCACAGGTAATGTGGTCAGTGACACATAAGCTAGATAAAGAAATTAGGACTTTAAAGGCTGGAATGAGAAATTCCAGAGAAAAACTCTGGAAGTGATTGCGGCTGTAGAACAAGTTAGAAGAAAGACTGTTATGAGTGAAAATCGGGGAATTAAATAGAACACTAAATATCAATACAAAATGTGTGGAGAAAACTTAAGTAGCAGTCTGAATATCACTACAAGAAATACAAGCTCTAAATGAGATGGGTGCAGAGGGTGCAGACCCTGTTAGGCTAAGGTGGAAAAGCTAAAAGTAGCATTATGTGCAAAGCAGGGCATGAACACAGCTCTTATCAAGGCACCCTTTCATGAGGATGCTGAGCCAAGGGATGGAGATTATTCTTTTGATGCAGCTGGTGACCATTCTGCAGAGGAGTATAAGGTTAAAAGCCCATGTGCTCCTGATATTGAGATGCTGCCAGCTTTCACAGAAAGTCCCATTATCACTTATCACTCATCACTACCTGGTTTACTGTAAAAACAGAACGTGAGCAAAGAAAAGAGGAAACGGGAAATAAACAACCAAAGTCAGATTGAATTATTAGGAAAAAAGTAATGATTACTGCTGATCAGATTCCTGCAAGTCATTCATTTAAATAAAATTTTTTTAAAAGTACATTAAATGACTTCTTAAATTAGATGCTAATACTGGTTTAACCATGGCTGATCAGGAGAATGCCTCTTGAGCATCTGCTATGGCTTCTGATTGGGCTACTGGAATAATTGCCATAGACACAAATCTTGCAGTAGTAAATGATCATTGTTAAGTGGATGCATCGTATTGCATGGGCTTTAAAGGGTAGACTTGAAACTTTAAAATTGTATTGCTTAGATTAGCATAAGCCAAGTGAAACCAAAGAAGTGTATCTGGCATGGAAAAAGTTGTCAGTCTCTATCCATAGTCTTCTAAACAATAGAGACAGACAGGTCCTAAATCATAACGGGGCTGCATTTAAAACAGCTGTTGTGAGTGGCCGTAGAGGAATCTGCCTTGACTAGGCAGCAGCAAAAAGCAAAGGGTGACACACTGGAACAAGCCCAGCCTGTGGTGTTTGCTGACAGCGGGCTGCAGCAGTGGGCCTGGGAAGGAGGGACAGTATGAAGCGTGGTATTAGTGGGAGTCCCCAGTATGTTATATGAACCCTGCATGTAGAGAAGCAAGGAAGAAATGTAAAAGAGTAGCACAAAAGAATAAGTAATCAATTCCAAGCTTTAGTCAGTTTTAGCTGACTTTACTTTCTTTTTATTATTGAATATATGAATATATGAAAAAAGGAAAGATATACTTTATTTTTAGATCAATTCCCATGGCAGAAATTAAAATCAAGAGAAAACTATGAATAAACTGAGGTAATAAGGAAAAATGGATCCTATTAGGCAGTGTCCCCATCTCCAAGCAAGGGAAACCCTGTTTCTCTCAATGAGAATATACATGCATCCTATTACTAATAGTGATCATGATCACTAATGTATGATGTCTGTATATGTAACTTAAAAATATATATGCATGTGATGTTGTATACTGATATAATATTTTGAGTGCTGCAAAAAGCAAAGGTTAATCAATTAAGTACAGAAATGTTTAAAATGGTAAATTGCATTTTAAAAGAATGCGCGTTATTAAGTATGCATTTACAACATTGGTACTGGGAAGACTGTATCTTTGTGTAGTTTCATATATAACTACAAAATGGTAATAATATATATAATACATATTATAATATATAATATATATGTATTATAAATTATAAATATACATATATTATATATAGCTACAATATTTATATATATAAAACAACTAGGTAAAAATGGATGGTTCTGGAATGGTTAGAAAATAGGTCATGGTGGAAACCAGCGGTTTCTCAGTTACAGAGATATCAAAAACTACACGAGTATGATATATAGCCATGCATCAATTTTATGAAAAAGTTTTTTTGTTATCGAAGAGTTAGCGAGGTAGTGTTAGAAATGTATAACGATATTGTAATTGTCTGTATACCATCCATCCATGAATTACTGTAAATTATCTCACTGTTTGTAATTTACCTGATAGCAAACGTGCAATGTAATGTAACCTCTGCTGTAGGATGCGCTTTTAATTATATCATACCCATAGAAGTAACAGTCAAATCACAGGAATCATTGCAATTGCGTGCTATGTCATGCTCAGTACCTTTAGGAATGGATTCTTAAATAATTACCAAAAATGCTAGAGCGCTCCACTCTTGTACCTGATTCCTGTTAGGTGGTACAAAAGCCACAAAGGTAGAGATTAGTGTACACTGAGCAAATAACTAAGTCATCCACATTGCTACTGCAGTCCAAAATGCAGTGCACCAGTTCTGCAGGAAGTCCTTCCTGGAGTTCTTTCCCTCAGCCTCAAGAATTTGGAACTTGGCTTTACACCCTAGAGTTGTTATTATATTCATCATGCTAGGGGGTTTTTTGGCAATAAAAGTTAAATGCTTGACAGGTTGTGGTTATACATCACAATGAAGCACTACAGACCACATTCAGACACATATACAAGTCACCTTGAGGTTAAAATCAGACAGGAAAGAGCAAACTCCTCCAAGAACATCTGCTGCCTCATCCTGATCAGGAGCCTTGAGCCATAGGAAGGTTTTCAGTATCCTTTTGTGACTTGTAAAAAGATAAAATCTGTAAAGTGGACTACCGAAAGGAGGGTTGGTAGTCCTATAGCCCCATAGTTTTTACCATTACTAGTAGTGGCATTGCTAGCAGAACGAAGATATTATGTCAGGTGATTCAATCTCAGAATTGAAGGGGCATTTCTGGTATTTTTAAGTGCAAAATTCTATAACCCTGAATACATGAAATACATGAAATCAAACCTTTTTGAAAAAACATTAGATCTTGACTCTTCCTTATACAGAGCCCTACTGGCTTCCCATATTTGTCCTTTAGTGGCTACATTTGCAGGCCCATTTAAGTGTATAGTGCTGATTGTCATCTTTTCTACTAATGTAAGCAGAAGCAGCAACCATACTTTTTTGCCTTCTGTGGCACTAGTTCGTAGGTTGGTACAAAAACCTCATTTTGCCTGTAGTTTACACAACTCTCAGTCTCTACAAGCTACTTTAAGTTGATGAGCTGTTTATTTGTATTGCTCTAAGGGGCTGTGCATCAGCATGCATAGATGAACATTTTATACCTTCATCTTGAAAAAGAAGAGAGACACAAGCCTGATATCTTCATAGACTTTAATCACAAATAGACTCACAATGTATCAATTCATCAAAATTCAAGTCAGCAATTTTCCCCTTCATTTTACATCAGCTATCCTACATGCTGTAAAATGCTGTAAACCTTCAAAGTCCCTTTTCACTTTCATTTTACAATATCTTAGATAGCCAACACGAATGCCCTCTTCTTACAAATCCACTTATATAGGGAATGGCAGTTATCAGCATGCACTTCTGTCAATTTATAGGCAGCACATTTTTCTTCTTGCTTCCTTCCTTTTATTATAAAACTGCAAAAGCAAAAAAACCACACAGGCATGAAAGTCATTGAAAAAAGAGTGACACCACAAAGACTGGATTTTTTTTCTCTCCTTAAGCTGTCATTCTTCTGATTCTCTGACATACAGGCAAGTTGTATTTGTTTAGCAAACTTTATCCTTTCTCTGTCTCCCTACTTGCAATATACCTGGAAGTAAAATGCAGATGCAGCATCTACATGCCTAATAAAATTAGTTCCTTTTCCTGACAGCTGCCAAGAAATCTCATTTTCCAGCTACACATTTTGATCATAATTCTGTACTGAGAAAAATCAGAACAGGCTGAGCTGCCTAATTGGAATATGGGTCCCCATATCTTCTTGCCATTTTGTCTTGGTTTGATAGCTGAATATCCTGAGTACGGAGACATCCTGGAGGACACATCATGGAGGCCAGTACAGGTTCATCCCAGAACGGACCTATCTGTGCCCTAGGCGTTTGGGATCATTGAGCCATATCCATCTTTCTTCATTCTCATCAAAGTTTAATCCAGTCCAAACAAAGCCAGTGTCTTTATCTTTCATTTTGTTTAAGAATGCCTAAGAAAGAGATGCATGTCTTCGTACTCTAATAATAAGACACTTCAAAAAACCCCACTACTGGTAACATTCAATGGTAATCACTTTAAAAATAGCAAGGCTTTCATGCCCAAAGATTTCAGAGAATGTTTTCCAAGCAATTGAGAAAAAAAATCTAAATTAGTTCAGATTCTAAACCATACCCAGGTGCTATTGGTCCCTGCCTAGACCTGGTCACCTTTAAGCAACAGCAGTAGCACTGGAGAGGTGCTAACTGCAGGTTAGGATGTGGCCCACAGAGCTGCTTTGTTATTGACCCAGACCTGGCACTGATATTTAAAAATATACAAAGCACACAGAGAAATCACTCCATCCCCCAAGGAAAAGCAACAGTTTTTATGTCAGCTTACTTCTGAATGGCTTTTTTTTTTTTTAGAATAAAACATGCAAGAATCCTTCAATCAAATACTGGCTGTTTCTTGCTGGAGATAGATAATCTCTAGGAATATTGTTGCATCCTTTGTTTAAATGAAATGTAGACTAGTGGTCTTATTGACATAAATGTTTCTTAGCATGCAGTAATCAATCATCAGTGTAACTAATACTAACAATACACTTTATGTGCATATTTGGATTAGAAATGGCTTCTTACAGTACAGTGAAAGCTCTACTCTGATATGTATATTCACAGGGTATAATAATAATAAAAAAAAATTGAACCACAGAGTGCCTCACAAATTTACCATTTCAGCCTCATCTTCTATAACCAGGAGCTCAGATTTTTTTCCCAAGCAATATGCCTTACTATTTTTCCAGGTATCACGATTTTCTGAGTAGTAATAACATCTCCCATAATGTAGCTTCCAGCCGACGGGGCAGAGTTCACATCTGGAGTCTGTGAAGAGTTTGGGGTGAAGGGTTTTTGTCACTTCTTTACTTAAAACTGAAATCGTTATTATTGGCCTCTACTTTTACTGGAGCTTTTGAAAATGACAGTAAAGAAGCTTTAAACCAGGGGGACAGAAATTATGATACTGTATTTCTTTTTATGAATGTACACAGTTCCTGCTTTACAGTGGTAATAAGTATAGTCATTCTTTCATTAGGGACCTCTTTGTATCTTTAGACATTTCAGAACTCCAGATAATTGTGCTAAATAGCTTACATAAAAGTTGGGGCAAAAACCATGGATTAAATTCCCTGCTCTGCTGAAATCACTGGGAGTAGAACAGTTGGTTCAGATAGAACCCATGGAGAAGCAGCAAAGATCTGAAGCAACACTGCCTCACTTTTATTTCTTGCATGAACTAAAATTTTTAAGGATAGAGTTCTAAAATAAATCACAGTATACATCTTTAACAATGCAAGCATGATTATTCTGGTATTTGAGAGTCATTCCCTTTGTGTAAGTGTTTATTTTTATACTAATCTTTTCAAAAACCTTCAAATCATTTATGCTACTGTGGGCAAGAATTTATTTCCTTACCATTTGTATACATGCATAAGTTGTCCTTTAATGCAGTGAGTAAACTGTTTTCATGAAGATCATCTTCAGAAGTATTATCACTTTCAGAAAGATTTTCTCTGGGCTTCCACATGTCACTTGATTGCAAGTCACCTGGACAGGAATCTTCACCATTTCAGTATAAAGCTCATAAGTGAACTGTCAAGAAGCCTCACAGTCTTTTTCCATGGAAAATAATGGAAGTTCTAAATGAAAACTCTGCCCTTCCAGCTCCCCTATAAATGGTTAGGGGGGAGCTGAGCCTCTGATTTCTACATGTTAAACAAACATGTGAGGTGACTGACTTTGCAAAGACAGTCTAGATCATAACATCATCATGTTTTTGACAACATGGCATGCAACAGCTATCTTTCAAATAATATGACTGTGTCTTTGATTTTCCAGTGCCTGAAATCTGTACTGAGCTATTTTCAGAAAAGAATGGGATGATGTGGAAAGGAAGGACTTGCATCCAGAAAAAGGGAGCACGGCTGACTCTGCCATTAACAAGATATTTATATCCAGAAGTGCTTCGGAACTCGCATTTTCTCCTCGGTTCTCAAGTGATTTTAATGAACAAGGTGATTTTGATGTCCAAAAGCAAGCTGGACATTGGGATTACCAGGCCAAGGTTTTCTAAAAGAGGAATCTAAAATGAGGCTGCTCAATGAATATTCAGAAGCTTGCTGATGGTCACTTAAAAACTCATTTAAGTTGCTTAGCCAGGGCAACGGCAGCCATTTCTCTCTGATCTCTATGTTTAGATGCCCAGTGATACTGGTAGACACTCGTGGTGGAGAGGTAAGCTCTGTATGCATGTGGTCAGTGCTGGCAGTGACCCTGTGCTTATGCATAACTTCCATGCACGAGCTCACCTTCATAAACTTAAATACATTTTTACATCTGCTTAGAGAGGTTGTTTCAATCTAGGTATATCATCTTCCAGCCTCCTGTCTCACCCATCCCCGAAGGCCAGCTCACAGTTCTCATTTCACAGGTTATGGAGGACTGGCTGAGACTTAAGTCAGGCAAAGTAGGGTACCAGGAGGTGAGGACTATCTGTGAAGATAAGGGGAGAAGGAGATAGAAGGGCTTCCAGTTGTATCATTTGTCTGGAATGAATTCTGTTTTGTTATTAAAAGAGGCTTTCCAAATAACTGCATGGATGCTTTGGCTGGAAGGCTAGGTTAGCTGTTCAGTTTTGGAAAGGAAGAGGAGGGACTTTCAGGCTGGGAGAGTAGAAAATGAGAAAGACTCCAGCCCTCTTCATAAACCCCAAACATTCAACAGCCCTCTAAAAGCCACTGACCATTTGCAGCCCCGAAATCCCAGTGACTCCCTCCCTTCCTCAGAAACCCAATAGTAGAAGATATGAACAATCTTGTCACCTTATCAAAACAGTGTGTTTGAAAACCTTAAGGATTAATACCTATCAATTACACAGGAACGAAGACAAAACATTTTACTCAGTCACTCACACTGCTGAAATAGCGCGATCACAGCTCCAAGAAATAGAACATTCAAAAATCCTGAGAGTGCAATGACATACCGCAAGCCTGAGGAACAAGACGTAAGTTCTGCAAAAAAGAAGATTGTTCTGCAAATAGGCATGAGATGTTACTCAAAACATAAATCTGGATTTCTCTAAACATCTGCCAGACAGAACGTCCATCATAGTCACTTCTCCATATGCTTTGTCACAGTTGCTTTTTCCCTTTTAATTGTCTTATGCATATCAAGTAGTTCTCACTTCTAATAAACTTTCATTTATGAAAAGCTTTTCAGATTGTGGACTTGAATTTTTGCAGTCTAATGTCTTCACTACTTGTCTTTTTATTTGAGATTTTTATCCTTTTGTATAACATTTCCGAATTCACCCATGCTCTTAACTTATCACGGTGAGTGGAACACCTATTGAACAGTTTCTGCTTCTTTATAGCATGGGGATGTCACTCTAGCAGATGTCATGAAGATTGTTAGATGTCACAGCAAGCACTTAACAGATATTGTTAAACAAAACCTCACAAACTTGGTGATAGAGGTGTAAGGAAGAACGGAGGTTTCTAAGAGTTGCAAATAAGAGACAGGTGTATAACATGTAAGAATAAAAATGAAAGTTCTGGGCCTGTGGATATCCGTACTATTAGTCAAGAAAGGCCAGGTAGATTCTCTGAAAAATAAGGTCTGTAATCTTAGGATCCACAGACACTAGCACGCCAAGTCAAAGGTCTTTAGAAAAGTCTGTGTTACAATTTGGAACTCATTTGTTTATTGAGTTCTTGATGTTCAGCCAATTCCCCCTGGAAAATTAATACAAAATCAATGGAAAAGTAAGTATCAGTGTACTAAATAGGGCTCCTTTGCAGAACGGGTGCTTGATGAACTCCAAACATCAGTGATTAGAGATGTAGAAATGAGCTCCCTCACAACTCTAAGAACATTACTTTTAATTAGAATCAAGAAAGCCTGGAAATGCACAGATAAAGTCAATCTTCCTTCTCAACAGTATCCAATAATCTTAAAATCTATTCTTGTAGGGCTGCCATACTCTTGACATACCTCTTCCTAGTGAAACCTATAGTTTCTGTTTGCTCACGCACTCTATTTCTGGATTGCTATGTGTCTTAACACAGAATCACAGAATCATGTGGGTTGGAAGGGATCTCGGTAGGCCATCTAGTCCAGCCTCCTGCTCAAAGTAGGTCCAGTTAGATCAGGTCATTCATGGTGTTGTCCAGTGAATTTCTGAATATCTCAAAATGACAGAGATTTTACAGTCTCTCTGGGCATCTGTCCTAGGGTCTTCGCGATCATGGTGAAGAAAAAATTATATATATCAAATCAGGATTTTCCGTGTTCCAACTTGTGTCCATTGCCTCTTGTCCTTCCAATGTGCACCTCCAAGAAGAGTCTGGCTCTGTCTTCTCTACAGCCTCCCATTAAGTAGTTGAAGACATCAGTAAGACTCCCTTAAGCCTTCTCTTCTTAAGCTAGCACAAAGCCAATTCACTCAGCCTCTCCTCCAGTGTCATTTGTTCAACCTCCTAACTGTCTTGGTAGCCCTCTGCTGGACTCTTCCAGCAGATTGTCAGTGTCAGTCTTGGAAGGGGTAGTAATATAGTTAGTGTAGGCTGCAGGAGAGCAAAGCTCTTTACAATAACTGAGGTATAAAAGATGTTCTGTGATGCCACAAAGGAATCCTTAGGGCCAGGAAGAAAACAGCTAAAGTGCTGCAGCTATGTGAAAAAATGTCACTTTAAATTTGTTTCCTAGCTTTCTAGCAGTAGTGCTTTCAGGAACATGTTTCTAAATTTCTTTCTGGAAAGACTGCAACACAATATACTGCATACTACCTCCAAAATTAACTGAGGAAAAAGATTTTACATGCTAATTTCCCTTTAGCTGAGGTCCAGGAATAAAGTCAGAGAATAACAGAACAGTGACTTTCTGTTTCATGGAATGGCCATCCTTGGAAGACAAAATAGAATGCCAAAATTGATGACTTGTGGAGACCATGTTTTTTACTTATTAAATAAGATCAGGAAGCATCCCATGGAGTTTGAGTAAAGACTAAAGTGAGGATATGATTTCTCCTTTAAAACCCATTACATTTCACATGCTAGTGGTCCGGGTCAGAGCTGAATCAGGAAACGGATTCAGACTGGTTGAAAAGTTCTCTGCTGTAACATTGTTATTTGGAAACTGTACGCATGAAACTTGTGAAAATCAGGATAGGACTTGAACTTAGTGCTACATAATAACTGTGTATCTTCTGTGGCAACTTTAGTAACATCATCTAAAAATTCTGACAGTTTTTCTTTTATGACAACTCAAAGGCAGCTGACTATACCTGGAGGGATTTATTATCTACAGAATATGACTGAAGCCGTATTATATATGCTTATATGCTTACCTGCACTGGAGCTTTTCTTTCTTGCTTTGAAATGAAGTTTCGCGTAGCCTTCTTCATCCTCCATTTCAAGGTCTTTTTATCGCTTCTCAGCAAGGACTACAAATGACAGAGTCAAACTCGGTATGGGAAATGCTTCAACAAGTCTTATAAACAGGAAGGAGATAGTGGCTGGTCATTTGTGCTTTTAGTTCGAATCATGTGATAGCAGGACTATGGACAGGAACTTAACAATATAAGTTGCACGGACAAGCGTTCTCTTTTTCTTTTCATCTCCACCTCTGTCTTTCTCTTGCATACTCCAGACAGAACTCTAATACTTCTAAAGCTATATTTTCTCCAGAGGAAACTATCTTTCAAAAGTCCTCCTGCATGTGGGAGATCAGATGTGAGCCCTTTCAAGTCCATTTCACTGGATTGCTGAACTGTTCCCCTCTACCTTATATTAAAATCAGCTATGTCAACGTCTGTTTTTCTCAAATGCTAGGAATTGCTTCTTGTTTTACCAAAATCAGATTGTGTGTATATTTCTCATTAAGTAGCTTGAAAGGGTATTTACATACATATGTTAATCCTTGACTACACTTTGTGCTTGTCCACTTGAGCAGCTATTCATGGAGCAGAGCAAGTTAATGCTTTTTTATAAATGGAGACTTGTGTGGCATTGAACCATTGAAGTAGCTCTGTTCAAACCTTACAGCTTGCAATGTTTCCATTGCACTTCAAAAGGACAAGCTTCTTGTACTAGCAAGGAGTTGCTTAGTTTTTTAATTGCTATGTGAGATCTCTTCCAAAAAGAAGTGAACTTGGAAATTTTTTCCTGTTTAAAGATATCAGATATGCTCTAATTTATTTACTTCTGCTGGTGGTAAGTCCTGAGAGGAATAAGCTCTGGGGAGAAAGAAGGTAAGCAGGGGATGTTCAGACCCACCTTTGACATCGGCAGTAGGTTGAGAAACATCAAATACTTTTTAAACTGTTGGTCTCCAAGAAGGCCCAGAAGAGACTGAAGATCCCATCTAGCAGCTTCTTGGTGTTCTTTTCAGTGCCAGTTTGGAATATTTCTTTCTGGAAATGATGATTCAGCAGAAAGTAAAAAAAAAATATTTTTTCTCTGAAATGGTTTAATGACTTCTGCTTTTATCCACTTTGCCAGGTTTTGCCAAGATCTTCTTTGGATCAGGACTACTTTTCCCATGATATATCCTGGTCTCAATTTTAATTGTGTCCGTGTAGCATCTAGAAGTGATATATCATAGAAAACATGATCCTTCATGTCATTAGCTGTATTTCATAATTAAATATTTCATGAGTATTTCACCTCTATTTGGAAAATATAAATGTGTCCAGAGCACGACACAGAGATTGTTTACTGATTTCTTAGACAAAACCTCTGATTTGTCTGAGATAAAACCTCTGATTTGTCTGAGATCACTCTGATTAACAGGACTGGTCCTATGGCCTTGGAAACCAAAGTAACTTTAGCTCAACTTTTTATTGTGGTTAGTACCTGAAAGACCACAGCCAAGATGGATGTAGTACAATCACACACTGCAAAAGAAGTGAGAACTCCAAAGCAGTTCCTCAAACACAGACATACTAACTGAGGCTGATAACCAAATCAATGCGAAATAGCAGGTGCTGAGCCGTAAATAAATATATTCTCTGTTTGTACAAGATGGTGAGACTCCACTCAGCGTCACAACACTAAATAACTCTCCAGCAAGGGTAGAAAAAACCCTTGCAATGTTATCAGCTGTCTCAATTGTTCTGATTCTTGGAAGCCAAAGTTTGATACTAGAGTTTTTAACTACTTCTGAAACAGCTCTGGAAGGATTTAAATCCTGCAAGCTTTAGCTTATATGTTTAGCAAACACATTAGCTGGTCTAATAAAAAATAGTATTACATCTCTAAATAGGCCTTGTTTCACCTATATTCTTAGATTGTCCTGCATCCAGCCACACAGCTGATATGGTATCTGTTGCCTTTTTTAGAGTTTCATCTCATGAAGATACATAAAATCTTGGATTCTTATCTGACTTTCTAAGCGAAAGTGGGAATTTTGGCCTCTAAATAACAATACAGTGTTACAATACCCCTTTGACATCATTGTGTTCTCAAAATCTTTAGGCCCAGATATGAGGGCCTGCTTTCATATGTGTTCTAGTAGGACTTACCATAAAATAAACATAAATGACACAGAAACTAAAGGTTAATAACTTGATTTTTATATGTTTTTTTTCTGAGAGAATCTCATGATTTCAGGGACTGTGCTGTGATTTTTTTAAATGCATAACTTCAACTGGAATTCCACTGGAATTGTATATTAGTTATTTTTGAATTTTTTGGGAAGTCATTTTTAACAGAAGTGTGTAGCTTCAAAAATCCAAAGGTTTTATTTCCACCTTAGCAGAGGAGAGCTTTGCGAATGGACACTAGGAATAAGATATTTATAGGCAGTGTCTTCCAGTTGTGGCAGAGTCTGGGAAAAAACACAGGTGTTTATTAAATAAGTCAGCAAGTTAAGCTCAAGGCAGGGGACACTATCAAGAGCCTTGAAAATGTAGATCACTATCTGACAGGACACAGGAGTGATGGAATATAGGGATTTCTAAACAGAAGGATGCAGAGTGCAACTTTGCCCCAAATACCAAGCCAGGGGAACAATCCAGGAAAAATTTAGGCATGCTTGTACTTAAGTGTGAGAGTCCACATGGGGTTTTTTGAATATATGTGTACTTACAGTTGATGTGCATACTATTTCACAAAATGACAGACCTAGTTCTTTTGCATGCTCAGAGAACTGGCTTCATCTTTCTTTCATCCAGCTTCTTGTTTCTCAAAGATATTTTGCACTTCACATTTTATTTCAGCAGAAAGAAAACTTCAAAGCAGCTTACATGCATATATATATAACGCTATATCATTTCCTTTTCTCTTGTGAAGTCCAGTCTATGCTTCTAACAGTAAAAACAAGGGCTTCTGAAATCAAATTCTGGGTAAGTCAAAGAAGCACACTTTCTTGGCAACACAGTACTGTACATCCAGCTTTAAAACACTTGTTTTTTCTTTATTTTAGAAAGATGTTTGCATTCTTTTAACTGCAACAACAGACTGGCAGGACTAAATAACAAGGCAAAAAGGCGCAGAATAGCAAGAAGCCAATCTACAGAAATGTAGGTGTTGAAACAAGGTAAAAGGACAGGAGCATAAATTCTATAAAGTTGAATGTGAAAACACAAGAAAAACAAAACAAGAAACTGAAGAGCAGTTTTCAAGAAACAAAAATAATTGAAATCTCCTTTTTTAGGAGGAAGGAACCTTCCAAAAGGACTGTAAAACAACAGATGATCAGATTATAGATAATGGCACATCGTAGCAGAAAGAAATAGAACTTTTTTGCATCTGTGTTTGCTGTTGAGGAACTCGAGGAGTTTGCTGTTCTAGAACATTCTTCATGGACAATACACCAGAGGCTCTGTCTCCATTCAGAGGATCAGTACAAGAGGTTATGGGACAAACGGGCAAAATGATAGGCCCCAAAAGGCTAAGAGCAGATGCTATTTACCCAAGAATTCTAAAGGAACTCAGAAAATAACTAACTGTGGTTTGAAACTTGCTTAAATAGCTCCTGGTGTCAAAAGACTGGAAGGTAAGGCTACTTCTTTAGGGTCTCAAAGGAGATCTTTAGAACAATCAATGAGTAAAACTGATGGAAAAGTGGTAGAAACTCAAATAAATAAAAGAATTTGTGGTTATGTGCCTAAATATGTTCAGTATTGAAAGATATATTTGTAAAGGGAAACCATCCCTCACAAATGCAAAGAAATTTCTTTAAGAATAATTCTGAACTCCAAAAGTTCAACCTTATTTTCTCACTAAAGGAAAATTTCCACAGTATGAAATTTTAGTGGTGATAAACTTGATATGAGAAGATGTGAATTCTTCCAATAATCTAAAGTAACTTCACTATAAAAATGGATATTGTATCAACTTTCAGATTTCTGTCTCATTCTCTTCAGTTGTAAAAGTCTCAAAAAAACGGCTGCATAAGCAATCTTCTACAATGAAAAGTTATAGACATACTCTAACAGTTTCCTGGCCTCCATTTTGTTCTCAGGAAAATGATAAATGAATCTCCCAGCCCGGACCTTTGTGATGACTATTTCGCTTTTTCTCTTAGTCTACGTATTTTTGTGCATACTCTTCAAGGTACTGCCTTTCTGAAAGGTTTGTTCTTGAATTCACAACTCTTAATATAGGAGGTTTTTCCATACTGAAAGTACATAATGTTTTAAACATTAGTGGTGCTCTGCTTTCCTTAACCCACTATAATCGCAAAATTCAAGAAGAAACTGATTTTTTTACAATTTTTAAAATTACATCTCTTTTACAAGGAAATTATGTATGAAAACAAAATTGGATAAATTCTCAATGCAGATTAATCAGTATTAATTTGAGCTTTCTTTCCCAATAAAGGGTTGATTGCCTGACAGTAAAGTTATATTAATTTGTCTCTCCTGTTATCAAATCCCATAGCAGTCTTCTGACTTTGTCAGAAGTCTTTGTGCTTCATGTCTGCCTTCTCAGCCCTTCTTTTTTTGTTCTATTTATCATACAGATATTTTTTATTTAAAATCAAGAAAAAATGATATGTAAAGTATATATTTTTAGGGCTTTAAACTAGGAAAGATGGTGGAAGGGGAGTGTTACAGAAACAGGATAGTCAGTAAAACACTGCTCAAATCAGGATGCCTCCAGCAGGTTCGTGCAGCCAGGGATTCAGTCAGCACGGGACATGGAAAGGATCCTCTCGCACTTTTCCTGAGAAGCCTGCATGCTCAATTGCTGCTCTGAAATGCCTGTACGCCAATGCACGCAATAAGGAGAATAAGCAGGAAGAATTAGAGATCTGTGTGCGGTCGCAGGGCCATGATCTCATTGCAGTGACAGAGACATGGTGGGATAGCTCACATGACTGGAAGGCTGTCATGGATAGCTACGTGCTTTTTAGGAAAGACAGGCCAGGAAGGCAAGGAGAAGGAGTGGCCCTTTATGTGAGGGAGCAACTAGAATGTATGGAGCTCTGCCTCGGGGTAGATGGAGAGCA